ATAAAAACGAAAAATCTTTGGATATAACTACATACAGATAGAAATTTAACATAAAACGGAAAGAGTTATAAGATGCTTCTTTGGTGCATCACTGCCTACTTTTGCCGTTATATTTGATGCCATTAAAGTTTTATGTGCTTCCATCTTTTGTATTATTTCATTTAAAAATGGTACAATGCTCGTTGGTGGGGGCGCTATGAAGGTAAATCAAAGTTAATCAATCTGTCTTACGCTATGAACACAAAAGTCTTAACTTACAAGTATAAGTGTTTTGTGTGTGTTTTAGTTTTGTCGTTAATCTAGCTATTTCAGCTTTAAGATAAACCCTTTCTGTAATACAACATAAACTTGTACATGTTGACGTTGCACAAGCACTTGTTGAATCTGAAGACAAACAATCATTGTTGAAAAGAAACTCAATTTTTATCAAAGCCGTTAAAAATAAAATTTAATTAAAATTAATATGATAAGAGAGATATAGTACTGCGGTACGAGAAAAAAGTAAGGCAGTGCTCTATAGCATATCACAAAAAATAATAATAAAACATTAGCAACTGGAATTTGAAGCGCTAAATGTTTACCTGTCAAAGTAGATAATGGAGACAACCTAACATCTGGTAATGGCACACCTAAACAGTCAGAGAAAACACAAATTAAAAACGCAGAGTAAATACAAATATTTTTTTAATCTGTACCTCGTGGAAGTATCTTTACCGATATTGTCGAACCAAATTTCTCAACAAAATGATCTAAATGAGTAAATTGATGATTAAAATATAACTCGTTTACTAATATAAAGAATCCTCATACCGTCATATTGAAAAACAGCTAACGCCGCTGTTTTACTGTCTTGAAATGTAATTGTACAATATTTTCCAGCTTGATAATGCATTTTTGCATTACCGGTGGTATTATCATGCTAGAACAGAAAATATATATCTTTTTAATAGAGCTTCATACATTGAAAATATAACCCACTTCAATATCTCCAATATTGAAAAAAATCGTAAATTTCATCTGTTACTGTTGCTGGTAATTTTTCAACAAATATTGTTGTATTGTTGTTGCTATTACTTTCATTTTCCTTTTCATTATCGTCATCATTTTGAAAGAAAACTAAATAAGAAAAGAATGAATGACATCGCAAGTAGTAATAAAACTATAACATATTGAGAAAAATTTTCCAGGACTACGGAGTGGAATGGTTGGTAGTACTTTGAGATTATGCCATGGTGGCTTTCAGTAGTAATACATTTCCTAGTGATGCCACTAATGATAATGCATCTGTTGATGATGGTACTTTCGATGTTGCAGCAGTTTGTGACTGTATATCCTGCAAAATTGATCTTTTTGGTTGAACTTGAAAGAAAAGAAAATTTACTTTAAAAACGTTGAAAAGTATAATAGTTTACTACCTGCTTGAGCAGAAGTGTTTAGTTGGTGTTCCTCTGTTTGCTGATGTTCAACTATGTGCTGCATTGCAGCAACCATTATATCACAATCTTTTTTATTTCCTAAAAAACAGACATTCAAATATAGAACAGTTTAAATGTAAATGGCACATTAAGTGCAGAGATTCCAGACAATAAGAGACGCCCTGACAATGAAGACTGATTACGGTTGTTTTTGTCGATAACTTAACTAATTTAAAACCAATAGCTCTTGAATTTTTTATCTCAAAATGTTAAGTTTCGAGTTATTTTTGGGTTAGCTTTACATTTTCAAACAAATTTTTCATCCTTACCTTTCAGCATAATTTTTTCTTTTTTCTTCTCGCGATCACTAACACTTTGAAAATTGTATTCTTTATACAAAGCTGTTTTTGTAAATGTTGTATTTCTCAAATATGATGCTGGCACAACGTCCATTTTTTATGTCATCGACCACGTAACAACAAAATATTGCTCATCGTCCATATCTGTGGGAAAAAAAGACAAAAGAACTTTTACAAAGATCTAGATCTATTTCAGTACTTACGTGCTGAATTTGTAGTTATATTGTTCCCATTTCGCTGTCTTCGAGCCATGTATAAAGTTGTAAATGTAAGTTATTAGTAAATCTAGAAGTATACTTTTTACTGGAATAAAGACATGTGTGAATTTTACAAAAAAAACCTGCTGAGTTCAAAGGATTAACAAAAACTGCAAGGCTTAAAACATTATCATTTCAGCGTCTCTTTCCTTTTTAAGGTGAATTCCAGACTGCTTTAGGCCTGAAACTGAGAAATAGAATCGGTTCCTTTGCGAACCTGCGAAAGCAGTCTCCAACAAAATATTGCATTAGATACGACCGATGCTCTCTTCATCTGCAATAGTATTGTCGTCAGGTGGAAGACAAAATTCAGTAATCACTTTCATTTTTCGAGCTGATCTACGGACTGAAAAATTTATTCTTGAACAAAAACAGATATACTATACGTCCTTAAATTTGTAATTAATTCTCTAAATCCGTTGTAGTACGTAAACAAAAGAAAATTGAATCTGATTAAATTTCGGACATTAGCTCTAGATGGTATGATGGAAAAAAAGAGATCGTATGTCGTGACACCTATGAGAACAAACAGCGCATTTCTTGAATCTTATATCCAATATTACAATAGAGCAATATCGTAAAGAATCTCTCACTTATGTATTTTGTAAGTAAAAAACCTTAGGATTTAGAGATTACCAAACTTATCGTGGAAATGGCAGCCTATACTGCCAGAACATTCTATATTTCAGAGTCGAAAGTGTAAATAAATATATGTATCTTATTATCCAATCAACCCTTTATCCGCCATAACTCCTACTAGCGGTTCATTGGTTGTTAAGAAGCAACCATTCCACACTGTAAAAAATAAAGTGCTACAAAAAGTGTTTTTATGAGAACCATAGCGCGTGGCTAAACATAGCCCTTTCAGATATAGAGAAAATAAATCACTTTTGATCTGCTGTAAACTAGAGCACTTTGTGACAAAACGCGCTTTCAAAGTGATTGCAAAGAGAGTATTTTTAAAAATATATAGTAGAAAGACGCTTTTGAAGTGACCCAAGAGAAAACACTGTAACAAACAGTGTGACATGAAGCATTCTTTTGAAAAGACACTTTTTAAAGTCATGTTGACAAGTCATTCACTTCTTTTATTTTGCTATTACTATTAGTATATATGTAACGCTGATTTTCTTCGAAAAACTTAGAAATTTTTCTCTTCAACGACTCTATAAGTGGAAGAAGTAGCCTTAGCCTATGGATTAGTAGTAGTGGTAGTATCAGACTTTTGAGACGGGTACTAAGAATAGTTTCCTGGTTCAAAGGAGCGAAGAATTAAGAAAATCATACTTATGAGTTCAGAATTAAATATAATGAAATTTGAGAAATGTCGTTCGAAAAAGTAGCCTAGAGAAGGGCACCTTCAAAAGCGATCTCTTGTGGCGCTGATCCTATTTGTAGCGGTCTTTATTTCGTTTACTTTTCATGTGACCACTGGAGAGCGCTTTGCAAGTGGTTTTCTTTAAAGCACTTTTCAAAGTGTTTTCCAGTCAAACACTTCAAAAGAACGGCAAAAAAAGACCGCTACAAATAGGATCGGCGTCAGTACAGAGCGCTTTCTTTTTTATAGTGCAAGTAATAACAGGAGCCTAGGTGATGGCGCAAATAAACAAGAGAAGACGGCAGGAGAACGATTCTGTTTGTGTTTCAAAAGATCATTAACATGTTCTTAAGCACATGTGTTGCATTTATTTGAAATTTAATTACTGATAAAATCAGCTAGGACTTACTGTCTGACACTCTGTACGGCTAGGCTAGATGTTGCAAAAGGGTAAATATCAAGGCTGCTTTTACGAAATTTAGTGCTCTACCAATTAGTCGAGAAAATAAAGACTCATCTGTGAGGAACAATATGGCGCAGATCTGATGTTATTTTTTTGTATCGTGAAACATTCTTGTATTATCTCGTACTTTGCACTAAAGCAATGCTGAGTGCGGGTGTGGAAATAATCTGCCACCGGCACACTTTGCCTGTCCCAGTATTCTTAAGATTAAATTAATTTCGTGAGTGAAAAGTACTGTGCTGGAAGTTTATTTAACTGGTTTTCAACCCAACGCGGATATGAAAATTAACATAGGCTTATTCGTACTGAGCTGCTACTCTCAGAACTCTCAAGGATTAATTACCAAAGAAATAGTAAAAGCTTGAGTACATCTCAGTCTTTATTATTGATATTCTAAGAAGAAAAAAAATCGTGCAACTAGCTCAAGCTAACTATATGACTCATCCCAGGTAGCTTTTACGGTCAAATAGTTATGTTGAGCTAGCTGTACGATTTTTTTACTGCCTGACTTGCCACTCGCTGCTGCCGTTCTTCTTTTTTTATTTATTGCCTCTGTGTCTATATGAGAAAGAAGAACAAATGCCAGCACGCTTCATACAATAACTGAACCGAAGAGAAACTCTTTTGTTGGTAAAACCTACGTCCTTTTTTATTTAAAAGTGCGACTGATCATGTTTTTAAAAGCCGCTCTATAATATCCAGTTTGCTTACTTTTGATATTTTTGTTTTATTTATTGAAATGTAGAAAAAAAGGTAAGTTTACCACCTACTCAACGGTCAAAACCTGCTTTTCTCTAGGTCCAGGAAATCTATTTCAACTACTGCGCATTTAACATAAATATTTCAGTAATACCCATATACGAAGAGACTGAACCAATATTCAAAAATTATCCTGAATATAATGGACCTGTGCAAAATATTTTAACACACTTGCGAAAGAAAAGAGAAACCAGTATACTTTACCATTGTCTGTGTTTATCGTTCTAAAAGCACTTTTTCATTATTATCTTTAATAATATTGAGCTGCTATAACTGAATTATTGGACGATTGCATCACACCATACAAATTCAAGTTTTTCAGCACCTTTCTTGCTTAATGAGTCACTGGCATGCTCTATCATTAGAAAACAAAAATCGTTCGCTAACGATTTTTATTAAAATATATCACTGTGTAACAATTTAATCTTTCGACTGTATAAAAGCTGCTTGTCATTCATCAACTAATATGAAGAAACACTTACATCGAGCGATTTTTTTCCCAATTATTGAATAGTCCCTTCCTTAACACTGTTTCAGAGAAGTACAGAAAAATTAATTGGACGAATATTGTGCTTTCGACATTTGGAAACATCTAGCTGAAGTGCCCAATTATAGGTCAATTAATTGGGCTGTGAGCGAGCGCTTAATTGAGTGCCAAGATGTCTCCTATTGTTGATTTTAAAAGCTAGATACACCGGGCTATAATAGACCAATTAATTATGCCTCAAGCTCCCTGTCATACATGAATCTAGATGAATTGCCCAATTCAATTCTTTTACTTTTTTTAAAACTAGTTTCATTTAGCTTGAATCTAGATGAATTGGGTATAATTTTTATGCAGCTGATTAATTGCCCAATTCACGATTTATTTTTCATGCTTGGGAAGTATGGATCAGATATGCAAAGAGAAAGAAGGCATTTTTATCAGCCAGTGATGTTTACACTAATGATACAACCACATGTCTGTCTTCTTCTTTTATCCTAGTTCAACTCCTATCTGTACATGTCGATGAACCAGAAAACATAACAGAAATCACTGTACCAGAATACCAGTGCCAGTGAATGCTACTTATGTGATGATCGATGAGAGGGTATAATGAAATGAAACAGAAAACAGTTAGAAGAGAAAAGGATGAGAAGTCAATGAGAAGAACGGCTATATTCTTCACATAGTAAATAGTATACATTGTTCGGTTTCAATCTTTCAACCTTTTATCAGTACGTTTCAAACTCTAATTTTGCTGCACAAACTTCGAAGTGTCTCTCAAAGTGGGAGACACTTCTTCACTTGTATTTTCACTAGTGGTTGGACCATCCATCCTATCTTCGTGTTTGAAAGGCGCTTTAACATGACGTGGTATGTCGTTTAAGGAGCCATATTGAATTACTTTCTGTTGATTCTGAGAGCCTGATTAAACTTCCTGTTAAAATCAATTTTCTTGCATGTAATTTTTAGTTATAGAACTGATTTTGATACAAAGAAATAACTTCTGTTCTAAATTGGAAATATGACAACCGCAGTTGCAACAGACTTCCCATGTATAGTGTCTAGTACATCTCAAAAACTCTTATGACTCTACAGAAGTCAAGAATCTTTACACGAATCTTTTTTCGACAACCGGAGTTGTAGTTTTTGACAACATATATTTCTTCAATTTTTTGCCATGCTTTTAAAATTTCAATAAAATTTTCAAATTTCTACTTATAATCTTGATTTTAATGTTTTAATATTTATTTTTGTAAAGCTTTGTTTTTATTATATGTTTGTATAAAGAATAAGACAAATACGACCTTAGGAAGAAGAATCTTTTTGGTAGTAATACCATCAAACTTTAAGAGAAATTTATGCATCGTTAACGGTATCTATATAAGAGCAGATAATCATCAGTCATACACTCCTAATGTATGTTTAACATCGTTGAATGAATGTCCGTGACTTTCATTGACTAATTGCCTTCAGACACACCGCTTGGAAACATCACTCCTACAGTAGGCTACCGAAATACTCCAAATTTACAACACAGTCTCGTACAAGAAAACCTTCATAAAAATTATTAAAATAACTGATAATTATCGCATGAAACTGAAGCGCACCGAATAAGCGATATACGATTCTGTGATCACACACCCGTTTTTTTGTTTCCTCACGATAACCCTGAAGGTTTTATGAGCAGAACAACGCTCCTAGTGAATTGAAAATTCAGGGAGATTCAACAGTCAATCAGCTAGTAGATCGTATACATGAAATCAATGAGAATTTAGACAGCGGTAACTTTACTCTTTCTGTATTTCTTGAT